TTTAACGTGCTGCTTCAAAGCCCTTTATTGAAGCTTTCACCTCCACCACAGCATTCTCGTTAGTCTGTTTTCATTTCTTCCCATCAGCCTCCTCAGCAGGGAGATTCTGCTGAGAATGAGATGCGATACTGAGCATTTCTTAGAATGCTTTCACCGTACTTCACTCACCAGAACAACAAAAAGTCTCATAATTCCCTTTACTGTAGCTATTTGAATCTGAAGTCAATGGGGAATGCTTGGGTGTTTTTTCCTGCTTGTTTTTCTCCCTAACCTTGCAATCCGTACCAATGAATTCTTGCAATTTTCAAAGCTAATTCAGAGATTTGTGTTCTGCAAGAGCTCAAAAGACTGGTAAATGTCTTGCTGTAGCCGCCTTCTCCTTCTTATTTATCATGGCTTTTTTTGTGAATGTGACAAGTTTATGGAAGATTTTGAAGTGCAGTCCTGTTGCCCAAATCCATAACTGTGTCACTCTGTTGCCTTCAGAGATACAACAATTTGTACAAGTAAATGATCTGGCCTTGGTTTTCCAGTCCTAAGTTATACTGAAGGTCATCAAAAAGAAATACCTGGTGTGCTGGCAAAGACCGATGAAACTTCAATCGAAAAAAGTCCTGCTTGCCGTGGGAAGAGAAAAAGATAGACCGAAAAGGGATAAGAAGTTGCTTTTACTGAGGTAAAAAACCAGCTTCAGAGGTAAGGAAGAAGGGAAATGGCTAATGTCAAGACTCCCAGGGAGCTCTTGCAAATTAAGTATGCATATTTCACTGGGTCATGTAATGAAGAACAACTAACAAAAGGAAAGCTGCTTCCATCTAGTGAAGCCCAGTGAATTTTGATTTAACTAAGTAAGCAACTTTTCTTAATTGTGACCTGCTTTGGAAAAGAACTTTTGAATTGAAATTGTTATTTCAGTCATCATCAATGAGTTGGCATACTTGGACACAAAATGTTAATGAAGGAAAATAAAGGCAATTGCATCAAATTTCAGGATGCAAAAGTTGTGATGATAATAATTTATATTTCAATTATTTTCTTCAGGCTTAACCCTGAATCCCTCACTCATTCCTTTTGTATTAAAAATTTGCACTGAACTCAAATCTGATTTTCATGACTGTGTCTAGGAGGTTTGCTGGAGAAAGGGTTTCAGGCCCAAACTCTTCATCATTAAAAAGACCAAGAACTCTTTAACTATCGTGAACACTGTCAGTAAGTTCTGACAGCGAATTTAATATTGGTCAAAGAGAAAGAGATCTCAGGTAAAAGCAGGGCTGGGATTCACAAACCTTCGCAAACTCAGGTGGGATGGATGCGAAGGTCACCCACCGTCCTTCACTTGGGAAGCCAGGTGCCAGTTCTGCGGTGCTGCACTCATTAGCAGCCACAGCTAAATCTGAGAGACCAGAAAAGGGTCACAGCACTACACTACGACCGACGGCTGCTTCACATACTACACCGCGTCCGAAGAAGCCAGACTTGCCCCTTTTTGCTCTCCCTGTCAGTGACTACATCCTTCAGCGAAAGCGGTGAGCAGACACCAAGGAAAGTACCATTATCAATCACACCAGGATGACAACCCACAGCACGTGAGGACATGTCTGCGTCAGACAACACAGCACAGGGCAGAAGTCTCAAAGGTATGACTGACTTCAGGCAATGAGTTCACAGCGTAGGGCAACAGCCCAAATTTGCAAAACACTATGTAGGGTGCCCAGGCTTACAAGTGAACTGGAAGCCAGGTACCTAATCTGCACAGGTGTTCATGAAAATCTCAAGAAGCATCTAGCTTTTTAGATGCTTTTACACTTCTAAATGACTTACTATTAGCATCCATAGCACCTGTGACAATTTGAAAATGGTATTTAGGTGCTTTTTAAAGTTTGACCTGCTCCAAGAAATTTGCAATTACATACAGATCAGACCAAAACTATAGCTCTTTCCTTGAAATTCACCAGGGGTTGAATTTCCCTGAAATTCTCCTCACATACATATCTCAGTAGTGAGATCCAAGCACTCTTGATTTCCAAATCCAACCTCCAACAAAGCAAAACGAGTGTTTTGTTTAAAGCCACTGTAGGGAACGGTTTGAGCTCAGTGTCAACCCTCGTACAAAGTGTGGAAATTTAGCTTAGGCCCACCTTTGCCAAAACCATGCGCTGAAATGTAGGGGCCACAAATAAACCTGACTCTAGAGCATCCAGCAGGACTTCTCCTGTGTGTGGAGTCCTTCAGAAACGTATGCCTTCGCTATTGGTTGGGGAAATGAGAAACATTTAGAAATGCCCAACAATAAAACATTTAAATCTATCAATGTATAAAATGGAACAGTTAACCACTAAACAAATGCGGAGGGGCAAAAAGAAAAAATATAAATTGTGTAACCATTGCAATCAAAGCAATACATCACATAGAAACGATATCCTGTGTGAGGTTTTATTACATAGCCACTACAGAGAAAAAGTTAAGACCTCTAAGTCCTGCCAATGCAGCAAGCCAAGTATGGCTGCAGCCACGCACCGGGACTGACTGTGGGCACTCAATCATGGCTTTTTAAATTTTACGATCTTTGCTTCATGGAAACTCCCAGCGGAATTTCCTACTGGACTACCTGCAACTTGTGTTTTGCCTCAGTAACAACTGGAGGCTCAAATTATTCATGTGTAAACAGCTTCTCTAAATGTTTCCATTTAAACAAACTCTCTGAACAATTTACTGCACTTAAACGGTCAGCAAAAATAACTGTAACTTTCCTAATCTAGTTACAAAACAATGGCCAAAATACCACATAGTCACTTAAAAATAACAATTTTACCAAAGCTGAATTTTCCTTTAAACAATCTCCGGGCAAAGTCTGCAAAACCATTAACTGGTAGATTGTATTCATAAATATGAAGCAAGCACTAAAAATGCTTTATTCAGGGTTTGTAAAGGCTTGCTTGAAGTACTTGTGTTTAATTATCACTGGTAATTTGAAGCCTGAGCCTTGAAAGTATCCAAGCTAAACACCTGTTTTTCAGTGACACTGAGCTGCTGCTTATCAATTACAAATATCTTTAGAATAATAGGCCACAAAACATAAAAATGTAATTTTTTAGTACTTTTCCATACATTGGTCCCAATAACTCTTAATATTAAGGGCTTACAATAGAACATGGCTGAGATCATATACAAACAGTTCAGAAGAATTTAAATTAAATAACCACATTTTAAAGACGTGTCCCCTGCAGCTAAAGAAGTTCAAAAAAACCATTCAAATAAGCAAATAACATTTTTTTACATTTACAAATGAAACATCATATGAGTATTTATTGATTTTTTTAAAAATTCAAAAATACATTGTAACAGAACAGAATGTATACGTTCTTCAATGAAAGACAAAACTATGGTTATCATCCGGACCAGAATACAAATACATGCTAACAATTTAAAAATCATTTTGGGTCATTCAGGAAACATGAAACAAGCTAGCTGTTTGCAAATGCAGTAGTTTTCTACTTAGTAAATATGCCTGAGAAAGTTAACCTGTAAAGAATTCGGCTTTTAAACTCTTAAACACAAAGAGCTTTCTAGGCTGAAATGGTGAAGAGACCTGCGATATGCACCTGACAGGCCACTGAGCCATTTCCCACAGAGATTCTGTTCACTGCTCCACCTCGGCTCAGCCACCCAGCAGTGGCAGTTTCACATCAATACCAGGCTTATTCAAGCGAGGTGTTAAAAAGCATGCTAAGATGATGTAAAACCATCAGTTACATACACAGCGGATAGATGTTAATAATCGAGATTCTTTACCAAACTCCTTGGTTTGTATCAGGGCCAAGTAAAAAGTAGTAGTCTAGTTTATGGATGAAACGGATTATATTTTTTGGCTCAAGGTAAGACCCTTTAAAAACAATTTCTACATAAGCATCTAGAATCAAAGCATGAAAAAAAACCAGGACAAACACAACTAATCATTTTACAGTAACCACATACTGTAGGCAAGTAGGAATCAAAACAGTAACATAAATTGTGCATCGGTTCTATGAAAATAAAGTGTTACTAGTAGACACAAGCAATCTGACAAGATGTGAAAGCGAGCAGTGAAAACTTCACGGATTGAATTTCTTTTCATCGGAATTCATCTGTTTCTACTGCAGGCAGGTAACAAATAGAACTCAGGAAAACTGAATTCCAGTTAGCAGCTTAACTCTACTACGGTGAGGCTTAGGCTTTTACCATTTCTTGCATTAAGAGACATTCAAACTAATGAATCAAAAATGACATTTTAAAAATGAAGACCAAAAGAAAGCTGAATGTACAGTTTAGACAGAAACAGCATTAGGTCAAATCCACAACTGGTGATATCTGTTGTACGCAAATGTAATTTAACTATGCTGCTTATGCCAACAGAACATCTGACACTATTTCTCAAATTCTAGCAGCCTCTTTTAAATCACTTCCAACAACGGCATACTTTGTAAATTACATGGGCTTTGATGAAAAAAATCATTATCAGGCATGCAAAAATTCTAACAGAAACCTCCCATTTCCAGAATTTAGTTACATGATCAAACTACATATGCTAGAACATATGAAACCAAACAAATTCACAACTGTGAAAAGGAAAAACAAAACAAAACAAAAACCTACAACAGGAAAAAGAGTATTTCTACATAGCTGGTCCTATCCTCCGATGGTGCAACACAGTAAAATGAGCTACAATCCACATATGCATGTAATTTTGCAGGTAATGGTGATCGGGAAGAGGCTTCCTTTTCCCACCTTCCACACTGCAGAAATGACTGGATGTACTACAGAGGCTGTCACTGTCCTATGAAAGGTAGGGTATTTGCCATTGCTGGATACAGGTCATCAGTGCTGAAGGACTCATGCGCTGACCCAGCGCAGTACATCTTACATTCTCTAGCATTGACTGTGATGTCAAAAACATTCTGCATTGCTCTGACACCAGGTCTGCTCCTAGGCTGCACCTTCTGATCATAACATTGTTCTACAGGTTACAACTAAGAGGTGCAGGGTGGGAAGCAGAGTAACGGCTTTAATGACCCGACCCAGAAGACAAACGCAAAGTTAAGATGGTGCGTCACTACCTTCTGGATCAGAGTCGAAGAGAGAAACCAATGCCAGAGCAGTATGTAAAGCTTCTACTGCCAAGAGGTGAAGACTCTCAAAGAAGTGCAAGTAAAAAGCATAATTTAAGCCTGTAATTATTTAAGGAGAATAAACAAAGAAGAAAAAGATGGCCTGCAGTAAGGTGAATGGAAGAAAAGAACAAAAAAGAGAAGGAGGGACATGTATATTGGTGCAGGGTTGTATCTCCTGGACCCAGAAACTGCCTTGGACACCAGCTAATTTTACAAGATAAGTTACATGCATGCCCACATTCATGAGGGCAAGAGTGAAACCTTGATGGTAATGCTATGATTCTGGCTGAAGAGCTTCATTTTCCCCCTCCCATACCTGAAAGCCTTGAATCCTTGCCAAATACTCCAGCTGTTTTGAAGGCTGCACTGCAGAACAGGGGGAGGCAGGAGATATTCCTTTTAGACCTATGGCTTCGGCAGTCGGGGACGTTCCATTCATGAGAAGTTCCCTGGCAATCGTAGCTGTGCTATTTGTTGTAGGAGATATGCTGAAGAAAGAGCTAGAAGTCTGGCTCATTTCTTTGGATGACAAATAGCTTACGGTGGTACCAGGGGCTGATTTGTTGCGGCTTGCTTCCATCTCTTGATAAACATCAGGAGAGAGATGGAGTATTCCCTTTGGTGCTGAAAGTAAAAGCAAAGATCATCCTCATTACTCTAGAATGGGTTTGACATGTAGACTATTTTCATTAACATACTTTGCAGTGGAAAACAAAGTAAGCATTTAAAAGCGGTATTTTTTATCCACAGTAACTGTAAATGAAATTGCATAACTTATTCAGAAACAAAGCAGATCTGAAGTGCCCCTCTTCTTCCTCTTCCCCCACTCTTTTTAAGAAGATACAAACCTGGACTTTAAAACGTGGCTAGCACAGAATACACAGCACGAACAAATAAGGTTTAGGGATCTACAAACCACGAGGAACAGCTGCTACTTCAAAATAGTAGCACGATCGTTGTTTCACTACAATCTCCTGCCTCCTACCTGATTCAATAATTTAGGCTGTTATTTCACAAATAATTTAAACTAGCTCATGTTCAGCACTGTCGCCACCAGTAGTAGTTCTTTCCTCTCCCACCTACAGCTGCTGTTTGTAGTCTCCAGCTGCTCTGTTGCTTGTGCCAGCACCTGCACCTGTAGGACCACGCAGTGATGCTCATGAGAACGAGCTGTTGGAGGCAAAAGAAGGGCAGGACAGCTTCTTGCGGCAGCAGCACTGCCTCAGGTGCTGGCTTAAAGTGTTTGCTGAATTAAAACGGCAGCCTGTGCTTAAATAACCTTAAATTGCCCTGCAGCCACATTGTTACTGTGCTAATGACTCTTATGTGACTGACTGCTCTTCAATGAAGAGGAATTTATTTATTTATTTATTTAGCTGCATATATGGTATCCTATAGTTTGCAAATTGCTACTTGCCTTGGACAACATTTATACTGGACAAGGAAAGCATGTACATGTCACCATTAATATCTACAGGAGTTAGGGTAAACATTAAAAAGATCTAAATTTATTTATGTGAATTACTTTTAAATATTTCCAGTGACATGTAAATTAGGGATAATTTGTCTACATTTGAAAATTTTTAATATACTTTTAAACAACATCTCAACCCTAAACCTGCTTGAAAATAGGAGTACATACTTAATCAGTTTTCCTGATATTGCTGTGCATGCAAACGTGCAGAATTAAGGCTGAAGTTTGCTAGTTTTCATACACAATGAAGCATTTGTTGGAAACATGAGTACCCAGTTTGCTGATATAAGAGAAAAACCTCTTTCTTATTATTAACAAATTGAAAAATGAGCTTGAAATTGTAATTTCATATTAATAGCATACTTTAATCTTCTAGGATATATATGAAAATAACATGGGTGAACCTGAGCCATATGGCATTTCATTCTAGGGATGATAAACCTGTTTGTTAACTGATTTAGTAATCCCAAGAGAAATCGAAGGGTTCAATGCTTAATTCATTTGCAGTACATATTAAATTCACCTCAGAATGTAGAATAAATTCAAAGAAGAGAAAGTTCATTTCCAGTTACCTAGAAAGGATTCCTCTCATCCTAGTAGTGCAAGTGGTATTTTTAAATAAAATGTCTACCACAAGGAGAAGACTCAAAAAATATTACCAGTAATAAATATCGTCATTTGCAACTACATGGTGAAAATCGAACTTCCTCACTGCTGACTCAGCAAACTACTTATAGGTGAATCTTTTAATCGATTTACTCACACATTTGGCTTTTAAATTAATATTGCTTTCAGAAAGCTGGAACATCAGCTTATACCATTCACAGAGACGTGTCTGTTATTCACCTGATTGCTCTCCCCACCTACCTTTGTGGGGCCGGGGAGCCTGGCTGAACTCTAACTTTAAAGGCGTTTTACCCAGTCTTACAACTGGCTCCAAAGCCAGCAGACCCTGCACTGAACTCTAGAGCTAAACATAAAATTCCAGACAATGCTACTGGGAAAGATGGAGGACAGGGTCCCTAAAATTTCTTTTTCTCCATTTGGGACAATTTAGAATATAACCTTATAGACAACAACAATTGTGTAAACACGCAGCATTATTTTATAGTGCATAATCAGTACGTGATAGTGCGATTCTATACCTTTTTTCTGAGGCTATAATCTCCAAGGCCTATCACTGCTCATATTTTAAAATAATCTTATACAAGGGATAGCACAAATGAAAATTAAAATAGATAATACAGATATTGATAGTTGACGTTAGGTTTCAAAACCAAACAGCAACAATAATACTGAGTGGCAGGTGTTCGCCACCTCCTAAGACCTGCCCATTGTAAATGTGATTTCCTACAAATATTTGAGAAACAGAAATGAAAATTGAACAAAAGGTAAAACAATATACAAGTTCAGACATAATACGGTATTAGCACCCCAAATCAATTTTAGAAAAACCTGGTACAAAGTTAACTTAAAAAAAGTTTAAAGACATTTAAAACCAAGTCCAATGTTGCAGATGTCTGTTCCATTGATGTAATATTACTTAAAACAAACATTTTACATGCTTTCTCAGCCGTTTCAGTGTTTTTACATGATCCACCCAAATATCTAACTGCTGTCTGGAACAATGGTTTGGAGTACTTCCAGATTACTAAGCTTTCTAAATGTTAAAATAACTAATATGCAGCATATGATGAATAAAAATATATTGAGCAGAGTATAGCAAATGCTCCTAAAGTACTGACTTTACTCTAATGGTGATGTTAAATTAATAATAGTACTTTTACACTTATGCAACACCTTTCTGCTAAAGACTTCAAAGTGCTTTATAAGCAATAATTAATTTAAAACATACATTGGCTCTGAGAGGCAGATATTATATTACCATCATTGATTATCTCTGGAAACAAAGTAATGTAATATTCCAGACGTTACATTAATATAGTTGCAAGCTATTAACTTTATATATTCAGGGCCTATGATTCTATGAAGCTTCGTACAAACTTGTTTTAAAAAGCCAATAAAAACTTAGTCTCTTTGAAAACTTCTATCAAGCATATATTAATTGCAATTCATTATCTATTTTTAATATATTATAGAGGATTTTCTAAATATTATTCCTCACTGTTGTCTGCTTACTTCAGCTGTTGAACTGTAAAGGAGCGTATATATATAACAGTTAGTTACAATAGTAAAGATGTTATCACAAGACAAGGAGTATGACATCAACAGAGGAGTAAGTGTAAGAACAAAAGAACTCTTCAGAAATTACCTTAATTAGTCTTCAAACAAGCACTTTAACAAAAGTGGGAGAAAGAAATACTATCCTCTAACACGTTTTTGCATTGCAGGAGAACATCTCTAGGTGAATATTTTCATATTAGTCTTTCAGTTAAAAAAAAAAATTGGATTTTTGTGTCTGCTAAATATTTATCCCATACTAACTTCACCATACTCCAAAGGTAGCATCATAATTATTAGGAGTCACAGGATCTATAATACTACCATTTAGACCAACAACATTGCACCTTCTGCTGGACATAACTTAGAGGTACATTCATGAAACATGTTAAAATAATTTCCATTTATATTATTTAAACCTGTGGGCAAATGTGATATGAAAATATGCAATGTAATCACTAACATTTGAAAAACATGTCTTATTCATCCTTGGCGGTAATTGTTAGCAGACTCTCACAATCTTCCGAAGTCTCCCAAAACCCCACACCAAAGACGTCTCTCACCTAAGAATAAATTTCTTGATCTTCCGTTGTCTACTTTTGCTGTCACGTACTAGACAACTGCAAAACAGTTTAGACTTCAAGGCAAATGTACGATTAAGATACAAAATGGCCCAGCTATCCTTCACAAGCCTTCTCCTTGAAGTGTAATCTCAGTACTTTGATTCCACTTCTTTTCACAGCAGCAGGAGTAGAGGCAGTCTCAGGAGTGGGGTTATTTTTATCCCTAACCCTTTCTCTATAGGGTCCCCTTGGCTAGGAAGACAGGGTGCCCTTGGCTGGGAAGACAGGAGGACGCTTCTACAAAAGGGTCCCCCATTGTCTGGACCTTCAATCCTCCTGGAGTTCACAGAAAAGACAACTAACTATTGGAGGGACTTTCTGCATGGGGAATGGGGTGAGGAAGGAGAATGACCGACAGTATCAGCAAATGAGCCTCAATGTAATAAGACTCCACAGAAATGGAATTTGCTGATAAAAGGACAGTGACAAGTTACCCCACAGCAGTGGGGTACTAAGTTAAGAAAAGTTCAGAGTGATGACAGTGTTGCCTGCACACTCACAGGTATTAGTGTCTCTACTGGTACCACTGGTGTCCCATTTTCAATTTTCTACATCTGTCAGGAAGACCAGAAAACATGAAAAGCTGAGATTTTGATTTTATCATTCAACTCCAAAAGATGACCTACAGAATCAGGCTTGTATTGTCAATGCTCATAGATATCAGTGCTAATCTTCTCTTTTCTACATGACCAACACTGTAGGGATACTCTTCCTCTGCCTTCACTCAATGACTTCTCCTGGTTCAAGGTCACTCATTGACTTTTTGTGTTTCAAGGACACTTGGTCTAAACCACAACTTTATTCTTTCTCAGAGAACCACGATTTTCTCCCTGGGCTCTCACCTGTCCTACAGGAAAGCTATACTTCTTGGTGCATCAGAAGCAGTGTCAGCTGGTGTATGACTTCCCCCAACACCCCTGAAGAGCACATGCTCTTCCCTGCACTACAACCAGTGATATGGGGCACCAGCATGAAGGAGCACCTCCATGTCTTGTGTAATGATGCAAAGTAAACCATGATATAATTCTGTATTTGACATGCTCATACATTAAGTTTAACACCCTGATATTTGAAATAACCCGTCACTGGATGAAAAAAAGATTGTTCATAAGGAGATAATCAGTATTTTCGGAACTGAATAAAATTCTAGATACATAATCATCAGAAGGCCTTCTTTCAGATTATGCTACCTATATTCACATTGAATAAAGCCTTCTTATACTGTGCTGCTTAAAATACGTGGCAAAATCTTGTAGTACGGCATTAAGCAGGAAAAGCTAGACCCAGATCTAATCCTGACTTCGCTATTATGTAAGTTAAAATGGACAAAACCTTAAGAGGCATGG